AGTGCCTAAGGCACTTGACTGCTAACTAGAAGGCTGGTGGTTCAAACCCACCAGCCACTCCTCAGAAGGAAGGTTGGGCAATCTACTTCCTTAGTGGTAGTGCCTCGGAAACCCAAGGAGGGGTCGCTGTGAGTCAGGGCTGACTCTCCGGCACACAACAACAAAAACAAGCATGTAGCCTGGTCACGAAAGAATGACTGGCTCCGTACGAGGATGTGGGGGACAAGAGGCCTGGGGCTCTGCAGGCCAATCCTTAAGCCGGCTGTGGCATTGAGGCTGTGGCTGACCCTCAGCCCCTGAACCTGTGGGTGCAACCTTCTTGGGAACAGGGATCTTTGCTGTGTTAACGAGGCCAGCTCGGGGTGGGCAGTGTCACTCCTGAGTTATAAGGAGCAGAAGAGCCAACAGACACAGAGACGGGAGAAGGTGCCACGTGGAGATGGCCCAGGAACCAAGCAACAGAAGGTGGAAGAGAAAGTCCTTGGTCGAGATGCCATGAAGACGGCACCTCTATTGAGAGCCGGTGCCCTCCTGAACAGGGAAAACACGTCGCTCTCACTTAAAGCCACCTCCTTGGGGTGTCTCTGTCACAGCAGCCCAGAGGACTAAGGCAAGTACCTACTCACCTTCACTGTTCTTCGCAAACTTTAGCTCAATGAGGGACCGCCTGTCTAGTTTCTGGAAGGAGAAGCAAGAATTAATGACATGGAACGCTACTACGTGATAATTTAATGATTAACACAGACGCTGGAAAAGCTTCCAGACACTCAGTCCCATGCAGCCGGGCACAGAGGCCTGCTGGTGCCAACTCAGGCAGCCCGAGGGACAAGGCGACCCAGGCCAAGGGCAGCCACGGAGCCGTGCACACAGCTCCCCGCTCTAAGGGAGGTCAGGTCTGTAAACACACAGACGCTGGCTTGTTCCCAGGGGCGCCTCTGGGTTAGAGGGTGAGGCTCGGGGACGAGGTCCTCTGCTACTCTGGCAAAGTCTAAACGTTTTTGTGATGAGCACAGATTACTTCAGGATTCAAAACAATCGCATTTCTCAAACAGGGCAGTGGGCGTGGGAGGATCTACTTTATTTTTCTGTTGGACAAATACTTAGCAAACGTCAACAGGGCCTCAATGTGGCTCCCAACAGCAAACCTCACTATCACACGGCTGGTCACGCTCCAAGTCAGTGAAACGAGCAGGACACAGCCGGCGACCCAAGGAGGGCGCTCTCCTAAAAGGGGCAAGGCCGCGGGTGCCCCTGGCGAACACTGGGGAGAAACAACAGACTGCAGCTGACTGAGGACACTTGCCATGTGCCCGGCTCCCTGCCAAGTTTACCCTTCCTCTTTCCAAGCTGAAACAGACACACAAAATCCTCCAGCTGCCAGCACGTGACAAGGGCCGTGGACGGGCCTCCTGCGTCAGGGGCTCCTGGCCCCAACAGCTCGGCTGCCTGGGACCCCGGGACTCCCTTGCCCTCTTGCTAGTTTCCTCCAGGTCCAGAAGAGAGGTGGAGGGGCGAACTCAAACGTCCCCACCAGACGGGCTGACAACCAGGCACAACACACTCACTGCCCTGCCTGGAGCAGGACCCTGGGACCTCTGAAGGGTGGTCAAGTCCACGGCTCAGGAGCTTCAAGTTGTCTGCTTTTTCTTCTAGGCTCATTATCTGGCTGTAAGTTGAGCCACAGGGGGGAGCTGAGCTCAGTTCCAGGCCTGAAGGGTGTCTAAGGGCCATAGTCTCAGGGGTTCCACCAGTCTCTATCAGACCAGTCAGCCCAGTCAGCCTGTTTTTTTTTTTTTTTAAATGATTTTGTATTTTGTCCCTCATTTTTCTCCCACTCTATCTGGGACCTTCTACTGCAATCCCTGTCAGAGCGGGCAGCAGTGGGAGCCAGGCACCATCTAATTCTTCTGGTCTCAGAGTCGTGGAGGCTGGGGTTCAGGTGGTGCGTTAGTCCCAAGGACTATCATTAGGACGATCAAAGAACAAACGGTTTCCTAGAGTCTCTGATGTTCTTCACTCTTCTTTGCCCCAGACACGGAGAGACCTGGGAGAGACCTACAGCTGCTTCTTAGATGGCTGCTCGCAGACTGTGAAGACTCCGGCTGCCACTCACTGATGTGCCCTGGTGGCATCTGGTTGCTAACCAGAAGGTCAGCAGTTCAAGCCCACGAAAGGAAGCTGAGACAATCTAATTTCGTGAAAATTTACAGCCTTGGAAACCCAATGGGGGTCGCTATGAGTTGGAATCGACTTGATTGCAATGGGTCTGGGCTCTGGTTTTTGGTCACTGCTCCCTGTGGCAGGATGAAAACCCACTGTCTTTGTGGACTATGTACGTTACGCCAATTGACGGTAGTGTCCCCAAGACTGTGGTCCTGTGATCCCAGGCCCAGTGACTCAAGAACCTCAGGTCTTGTGGGGAGGGACAGAAGTCACCGTGAAATTGTTTACTCAAATAAACACGCCCTCCCCATCCTGTGCTCATCCACTTGCCACCCACCCGTCCCTGTCCAGTACCACAGCCCGAGTCACCTTGTGCCTCGATGCCACCACTGCGGCCACCAGCCTAGTCTCCCTCTCCAAAAGGGCTTCAGGGACCACTCCCGGTCACAGGGCTGCTCAGGTCACACCCTGCTCGCTGGCTTCAAGGCTCCTGACCCTGGTAACATGGCCGAGGCCCCGTGGTGAGTGGACTCTGGCACAGGAGCCAGAACGATAGAGTCGAGCGTGTCGGCGACTGTGAGGGTGACGCAGGAGACCAACACCTCGTTCAGTTGTACCTACAGCTGCCGCGATCCAGCTGTGTGTGTAGCAATTGTTGTTGTTGTTGTTAAGTGCCATCGAGTCGTTTCTGACTCATAGCGACCCCGTGTACAGCAGAACAAAACACTGCCCAATCCCGCGCCAGCCCCACAATCCCTGCTACACTTGAGCCTATCATCGCAGCCACCGTATCAATCCATCTCGTTGAAGGCCTCCCCCTCTTTCGTCGACCTTCCATCCTACCAAGCATGACATCCTTCTCCAGGGAATGGTCCCTTCTGACAACATGACCAAAATAGGTGAGATGAAGTCTGGCCATTCTTCCTTCCAAGGAGCATTCTGGCTGCACTTCCTCCAGGACAGATCTGTTAGTTCTTTTAGCAGTCCACGGTACTTTCAGCATTCTTCGCCAGCACCACAACTCAAAAGCATTAACTCTTCTTCGGTCTTCCTTATTCATTGTCCAGCTCTCACATGCATACGAGGCGATTGGAAATATCATGGCTTGTGTCAGGCGCACCTTAGTCCTCAAGGAGATATCCTTGCTCCTCAGCACTTGAAACAGTTCCTTCGCAGTTGACTTTCCCAATGCTACACATCGTCTAATGTCCTGACTGCTGCTTCCGTTGGCATCGATTGTAGAACCAAGCAACATGAATTCCTTGACAACCTCAATCTTCTCTCCATTGATTGTGATGCTGCTCATTGGTCCAGTTGTGAGGATTTTTGTTTTCTTTATATTGAGACGTAATCCATACTGCAGATGCAGTATTGCATACTGTGTAGCAATAGTAAGGTGATAAACCTAACTCAAAAAGCAGAGACAAATGGGATGGTTTCCTGCTGTAAGACTGTGGTTGCTCTTATTGTTAGGTGCCATCCAGTTGCCTCCAATGCAGAGTGACCCCGTGTACAACACAAAACACTGCCTGGCCCTGCACCAGCCTCACAGTCCTGGCTGTACCTGAGCCCATCGCTGCAGCCACCGTCTCAGTCCATCTGGGTGAGGGTCTTCCCCTTTCTGGCTGACCCTCCACTTTACCAACCATGATATCTTTCTCCAGGGAATGACCCCTTCTGACCGAAGGAGGTGAGATGACGTCTGGCCATTCTCACTTCCAAGGAACATTCCGGCTGCACTTCTTCTGGGACAGATTTGTTAGTTCTTCTGGCAGTCCATGGTACTTTCAATATTCTTTGTCAACACCACAATTCAAAAGCATCACCTCTTTTTTGGTCTTCCTTAGTCATTGTCCAGCTCTCACATGCATATGAGGCAAATGAAAATACCATGGCTTGGGTTAGGCACACCTTAGTCTTCAAGAAGACACCTTGCTCTTAAGAACTTGCAAGAGGTCTTCTGCAGCAGCTTTGCCATAAGATGAGCAAACCTAAAGAAAACATGGGGCACTGCGTTTCCATTCACACGCTCCTGGCAGGGACGGAAAACTCACCGTGGAAGGTAATTCTGCAGGGCAGTGAACTGTTGACCACAGCCTCCCAGCCACTGCGCTCCACTTTGTGATGTGTTGTAAATCCTACAGTCTGTGCCTGTTCAGGGTGGGATGCATCTCGAGCCCACCTTGCTGGACAGTGTGACTCAAGTCACCACCCTTAGCTCCGTGAGGGGATGTACACACACCCACACCCACACCCACTGGAATATTCTGGGAAAGTCTTCTCTCTTGCTCTGGTTCTGCGTATGGTCATCATCTCGCTCCTGAACTTGAGACAGGAGCTGTCATCTGAACCCGCCGATTTGGGTTCACCAACCCCTGCAACCACGTGAGCAGGGAGACCTCCAGACCAACCCACAGACCTGGGGCTTGCCAGCCTGCCAGTCTCCCAGCCTCCACCACCACCACGTGAGCCATTTCCTTGGCAGTCTGTGAGTTCTGTGAACTGTGGAACCCTAAAACGGGAGGGAGAGTGCTGAGGGGAGGAGGAAGAGTTGATCTCAGGGATGAGGGAGTGGCCCGGCAGTTTGGAACAAGTTGGACAGTTGGGCCATCTTTAACCTCCACCTCATGGAGACTGACCTTGTGCTGATCTTTCTAAGAGAAATTATTCAAGCATTCCAAACTACAAACATTCCCCTCCCCGACCAAGATACTCTCACATTTGCCCAGGGGAGCGTGAGCAGGATACTGCCACCCTGTTGCTAATAGCAACTGACTTCAGTTCACTAGGGGCCCATGCAGATGAAGGCCAAGCAGGTCCAGGCAAGGCAGCCCTCCATGCAAAGCCTGAAGAGCCCGAGAGGGCCTCTGGGGGTCACACAACAGGTCTGTGGCCTAGGAGGAGAACATACATGCATGCGTCTATGCATGCCACACAGGGAACAGTTCCAGAAAGGAATGGGGCCGTGGTTGGGCAGGGAGGGGAGAGCATCCATGCCAGGCCTCACGGATGGCTCTCCACTGTGCTCAGGAACGAGTGCACTCCCACCAGGACAGCCACCTACCTCTCCGTTGCTGGGGTTGGTCCCATACTTCTTAAGCCAAGGGAGGATGCTCCTGAGGGGATGAGAGGACAGACAGCATCATGATGGCACCTAGGTTCAGCCTGGGACTACCCCCACCGTCCGAGAGGACTGGCTCCAGGTCAGAGACCTGGGGACAGGCTTCCTGCCACTTTATCTCTGACAACAGAAGCTATTGGAAAAGCTCCTTGCCTTATTAAAGAAACAACAACAACAAAAAAAAAACCAAACCTACTGCCATCACGTCAATTCCAATTCACAGTGACCCCCATTGGGTTTCCAAGGCGGTAAATCTTTATGGAAGTAGATTGCCTCATCTTCCTTCTGTGGAGCAGCTGGTGGATTTGAACCGTCAACCTTGGTTACTAGTCAAATGCCTAAGGCACTGTACTACCAGAGCTCTTTTGTCAAAGAAAGGAGGGGATTAATTCTGCACAAAGGGGCTTCCAAATATGCTTGGGGGTTTTGGCGACAGCTATGTGTAAACAAAATAATACCTAACTAACAAGACATAGAAACGAAACAAAACAAAGGAGAAACAAACGTGATCCATCCACACGATAAACACTAGGCCAGCACTGCCCGTTATGCTGTCAGAGAATTCCGAGTGGCGTGAGGACAAAAGCTCCCATGACAAGCCAAAGTTGGGTCCAGGACCAATGTCACAGGGTGCTCGCCAGGTGCCACAACAAAGAGACACAGACGCACGAGTGTTAACAGTGGGCGTCCCACACAGCGTGGCCTTCTCTGTGACAGCACCTTCTAACATTTTCTAAAAAGACCCAGCGACAATTAGAGAAGCTGGCACGTGCAGGACATGGGCCTGGGGGTCACCCTCCAAGCCCCACAGCTCCATGACGCTTCTCCTTCATAGGTTCAGTTTGTTAACATTGCAAAACATGGATGGGAGACCCGTTAGTGTTATACCCCCTCACGCGGGGTCCACACCACTCAAGGGAGAAGCGACAGCACCTGTCATTCCTAGGGTTGACAGCAATACTATGCCAAGTCCCTGAGGCCAGGCAGCTCCCACTGGGTCCCCAGGAAGCCAACCCAGGGCTCCCAGGGCTGCTGGCATGGCACTGGCTGGAGCCCCAGGCCCCTCCTGCTGGCCCAACAGCCTCCGTCGTGCCGGGCATCAGAATCTTGCGGTTGGTTAGATCGAAACACAAGGGAACACTCACAGCAAGTCAAAGACGATGCCTTCGGGGGTGCACACCGGGTAGATGAAGGGCTGCAGAGAGAGACTGACAAGGGACAAGAGTCACCCTGATGAGTGGCCAGGCCACCCCCCAGGCACACGTGGCCCTTCCCTATGCCCTGCCCACCTCTCGTCACCCCTTCTGCAATCTCTGGGGTTCTGCATGGCTCATGCTGGACACCAGGGCCAGAGGTGGTCCCCTGGCCAATGCCTCACAGAAGTGCCATGCCTGTGCCCCCAGCACAAATGGGTAAGTACCAGGCCAGGTCCCGGGGGAGGTGGTGGGGGACTGTCTCCGTCCCCTAGTGCCGCTGTAACAGACATATCACTAGTGAGTGGCTGCAACAAACAGGGATTGATTCTCTTACAGTTTAAGAGACTAGACGTCTGAGTTCAAAGTGCTGGTTCTGGGGGCTGAGTGCCTTGACCTTGGGCTTCAGCTCTGCCTTTGCTCCCGGCAAAACTCAGGCAGCTGCTGGCTGCTGAGGCTGATAAGCTCAAGGTGGACAAGTAAAATGGTACAGTTCCAAAATTACTAAACAACATGGCAGGTCATTGGTTCAAGTCCAGAGACAGTCCCAAGATCAGCAGGCAACACGGTAGGCTGCTGAATGAAGACGTGGCTATGTGCAGGGTCCAAGCATGCCAAAAAGCACAGAGACGCTTTTCAAAGCTTCTCTTTATATACTGGGAGCAGACCACATCTCTAAGGCAGCTACTCAGCTGCTCTAGTAGATTCCACCATGGAGTTGATGACCAGTCTCATCATCATGGGGAATAACTACATCCAGCTGCCCAGCCACTCACAACCAGGCCCAGCCAAGTTGACACACAACCATAACTACCACAGAGAGCCCCGGGAAGATGGCAGCCAGACTTCTCCCCACATGCTCTGTGTGGCCATGTCCTGGTTCTGTTCCCATGTTCAAGTTCAAATGGGTAATTGTGGTGGTCTCAGGGCATGTCAGGGATTGAGCTGTTCCCCCAGAAAAAATATGCTGAAGTCCTAACCCCTGTGCTTTTGAACATGACTTTGTGTGGACATGGGCTTTTCTCTGGTTGTCAGTTAAATTAAGAGGTCCTATGGGAGGATTGTGGGTCCAGCCCCAATCCCCTCTGAATGGTATCTTATGAAAGTAGGGAACAGAGCCAGAGATAGCAGACTGTGTACAAGTTGAGGAACTCCAAAAAATGCCTGGGACCACCAGAAACAGAAGGAGCGAGGAGCTGACAGGGCAGAACACAGCCTGGCTGACACCCTGAACTTGGACTTCTAGCCTCCCAAACACTCAAACAGCATATTTCTGTGCTTTGAAACACACTGCCATTGAAAAAAGGGAATCTACCCATGGCCATATATAACGTTGGCAGATGATAGTTCTGTATACATATTTGTATGCACTGTGAGAATGTCCATATAACTAGAACTAACAGAGGGAAAAGTTGTAACTTCTTAGCACAGTCAATCACCTTGATGGAGTGAGTTGTTGGACCTGTGGGCTCAGGACCATGGTCATAGTGGACATTAAGCTCAACTGGCATAACATAGTGACTGGGGTCTTAAAAGCTCAATTGTAAAACAGGCTTAGCACTGGTGGAACCCCTGAGACTATGGCCCCTACCTGCCCTTCAGGTCTTGAGTTGAACTCACTCCTGTGGCTTCCACCTAAACAAAAGGCATGTGAGCTGAACATTTACATCAGGTAGATACACTCCCTGAAGAGATCAATCGTGGGAGAATAGAAGGGCTGTGTATGCACAGGGAGACAGCTCAAGGGGCAGGAGTGCATGGAGGGAAGGACACAGGGAAGATGTAACTATGGGGAGGAAGTGGGAAGGGAGCTGTTGCACTGTGGGAAACTGTAGTCAATGTCATGAAACAAAACGTGTATGAACTGCTGTATGGAAAATGAACTTGCTCTGTCAACTTTCACCCAAATCACAATAAAATTTAAAAAAAAAACACAGCTTACCAACAGGATCTAGTGACCCCAAGGAGCAAAAATCAGGCTAGAAGGTCAATGCCTGTAAGCATCAACTTGGAATCAGGGGAAAGCCATGATCTGCCATCATCACTGTAGGCTTGCCCTTCTCCCCAGTCGGGGAAGAGCTGAGTGGAGAATGCAGACACACACACGCCTGGCTCCCCAAGGAACAGAGTTCCTACCCAGTATCTGAGTCTCAGAGAACAGCTAAGGGGACTTCCCAAAATGCTTACCTGCAGTGGTCAAAAGGTAAACGCCGAAAATTCGTTTTGGGGAGATCTGTGGGAGAGAACAAATTACTCTCTGAGGTGAAATGAATGATGCACCTACCAACAGTCCAGTTACATGCTAAGAAAAAAGATCATTTCAACTGGTTGCTCTGGGAGGTGTGAACGGTTAACGTGCTCAGCTGGTAACAGAAAGGTCGGTGGTTCAGGTCCCCCCAGAGGTGTCTTGGAAGAAAGCTCTGGCAACCTATAGCTGAAAAATCAGCTCGAGCATGTCAAGCTCAATTGGCATCACATACTGCACAAAAACACTGCTCCATGTGCTACTTTGGCGAGTGCACCTGGGGCTGAAAAGCTTGCAAGTAGCCATGCAAATACAACAAAGGGTCTCTCCTTGTCCAGAGTAAAGAAGAACAAAGAAAACCAAACATGCACGGAAACAGTCCAAGGACTGGTAGATCATGCGATTCTCAGCCTATATGACCACAAGATCAGAAGAACTAGATGGTGCCTGGCTATCACTGTCAACCACTCGGAGGGGGATTAGTACAGGAGATCCTGCATAGAGTGGGGGAACAATGTGAAACAAAACTCAAAATCATAGAAAGGGCCAGGTTTACTGGTCTGATAAGAGCCTGGAGAGACCCCTGAGACTATGGCCCCTAGTTACCTTTCAGGTCTGGAATTGCACTCCTGTGGCTTCCAGCCAAACAACAGACAGGCATATGGGGTGAACACTGACATCAGGTAGATACACTCCTGGAGCGATCAATCATGGAAGAACAGAAGGGCAGTATTTGCACAGGGAGACAGCTCAGGGGCCAGGAGTGCATAGGAATAAAGGTTCTTAGTTTTGATGCACTTCATGTGGTCTGGGTCTCTCTCTTAAAGCGTTTTAACCCACCATTTCAGCAGCTGTCATCTTCCAGACACAGACAGCCAGGCCTTTCTTCCAGGGCACCTATCTGGGTGGATCAAACTTCCAATCTTTTAGTTAGTAGCTGAGTGCTTAACCATCTGTGTCACCAGAGCTTCCACAGCCTGGAGAGCTTTAGATATTGTTCTTTTACACCTTATTAATTTGATCAAGATAAAAAAAAGTCATTTGAACCTACATGGACAGAAATGACTACGGAGGTTACATGTCTCCCCACGTGACTGGTTAAACTTCCTCTTGTGAGCCGTGTCCTCAGGTGATCTGTCCACTGTAGCTGCCACGTTAGTGATTCTCCCAGGCTCACTGCACAGTGACAGGGTCACTTCTGCCTGCCTCCCCCCAAGAGGGAACAGGAAGGTTTCATGCCTCACCTGGCTTCTTGCCACCGTAGAAGTGCGTGTACTCCGCACAGGTGATGTACCTGCAGGAGAGAGAGGAAGTGTTACCGCCATCAGAGAGCAGTCATTGGGAGGGAGGGATGGAAGTGTCAGCCATTCACTCAGCCACCAAATACTTACTCAATGCCAATGTGCCAGGCACACAGTGATGACCCACGAGGCACAAGGATGCACAACATAATACCAAACGCTTTGTGTGGCTCTGAAGGAAATGAGCTGAGCTTAAGGAAGACCATGGAAGCAGCAGCCAAGAAATCAGATGATGTATTGCACTGGGTAAATCTGCTGCAAAAGCCCTCTTTAAAATTCTGAAGTGCAAAGATGTCTCTGAAGATTAAGGTATGCCTAACCCAAGCCATGGTATTTTCAATTTCCTTATATGCATGTGAGAGCTGGAAAATGAATAAGGAAGACTGAAGAAGAGTCAATGCTTTTGAGTTGATGTGTTGGTGAAGAAAGCTGAAAGTACCATGGACTGCTAAAGGAACTAAGAAACCTGTCCTGGACGAAGTACAGCCAGAATGCTCCTTGGGAGTGAGAATGGCCAGTCTCCGTCTCACCTACTTTGGTCATGTTGTCAGAAGGGACCATTCCCTGGAGAAGGATGGCCTGCTGGGTAAAGTGGAGATGGTCAGCGACAAAGCGGAAGGCCCTCAGTGAGATGGACTGACACAGTGGCTGCAACAATGGGCTCAGATACACCAAGGATTGTGAGGTTGGGGCAGAACTGGGCAGTGTTTCATTCTGTTGTTCATGGGGCCCTATGAGTCGGAGCCGGCTCGATGGCACCTATCAACAAGTTGATGACCCAAGAGGCACAAGGATACACAAAGTAATACCGATGGCTCTGCTGGGCCCTAAAGGAAATGAGCTGACTTTAAGCGAAGACCAGGCGAGGGAAAGGGGCCGGGAAGGAGCTTTCCGGCAGAGGTACCAGCAGACGAGTCACGCATAAAAAGCCCTCAGGCAGGGAAAAGTCAGGTGTGTTGTGGAAGAAAAGGGGATGCTGTTGGAGACAGTGGGCGTAGGGAGGTGCGGCAGCAAAAGAATACAGGTGCGGGTGGGGGAAGTGGATAGAAAGCTGTCAGAGGGTTTTGAGCAGAACTGAGATAGAACCTACTGAAAGTCTTACAAGGATCACTCCAGATGCTGTGTGTGGGGAACAAGCAAAAGAACCAGCAGAAAACCCACTCAGGGGAGACCACAAAGGTCCCAGAAAGACCTGGCATAAACTCCACCAGGGGGTAAGGGAGCCCTGGTAGCACAATGGTTAAGCGTTTGGCTGCTGGCTGAAAGGTCAGCGGAACCTATCGGTCACTCTGCAGGAGAAAGATGAGGCAGTCAGTTTCTATAAAGACTGACAGCCCTGGAGACCCTCTGGGGCAGTTCCATCGTGTCCTCTGGGGGTTGTGAGTCTGAATGGACTCAATGGCAATGGGTTTTCAGGGGGCACACGGTGGGTACAGTAAGGCGACAAGACTGGTGATGGACTGGAGGCGAAAGCTAAGGGAGGAGGTATCGCAGCCAACTCCCAGCCTCTTTGATTTCCGCAAACAGGGTGACAGTGGTAAGCCGGTGAGATAAAGAGATGATGTACTTGGAGAAGATGGGGTGAGTTCACCCACGGAGAACGTTATGTGGGTCCTTCCTGCAAGAAGGAAAGGGAAGGAAGACCAGGTGGCGTCGGAGATACCAACTAGGGACTTCGGTAGGAGGGAGGTCTGACGATGTGTTCCCTTTCTGTTGAGCAGTCCAACGACATGAGGCCTCAGAAAGGACCACTCGCTCGGCCTCGTGCAGGTCACAGGGGCCCTGACAAGAGCCGTTCTTGGGCGAAAGCATGACTTTCCCGAGGGGGCAGAAAACGGCAAGAAGACACAGATACGTCACGTCCTGCGAGGAAGACTCAAGCAAACACGGTGATAGCGGGAACGGAGCGAGGGGACAACTCAAGGATGCTCTTTGCGGAGCTGGGAGACCCTGCAGTGCGTGCGTGCGGACTGGCGCGAGCCAGCGGACCCCGTGCGCCCGGGAAGCAGAGACTGAGGGGCCTCCTGCAAGAGCCCAGTGCCCCAGGGGGAGGGGAGGCCCAGGCAAACGCCGAGGCGAGGCCTCAGGGGGACCGCGCATGGAAGCCGGCGGGGACTGCATTAGGGCAAGGTCCGGGGAGACGCGACGGCAGGGGCCCGACACCCCGCCTGGAAGAGGCTTCCGAAAACAAGTGACATCCGAGAGGCCCTCCGGGGACCAAGGGGACTTCGCTTCCGAGGACAAGGCGCGCAGGACAGGTGGCCTCGGCCTAGAGGCGCCGCTCCTGTCTGCGACTCCACTTACATCTTGTCTTTCTGGTGCTGTCGCTTCCCCATGGCGGCGGCGGACGGCGGAGCGACTGGATCGACGTACGCGCAAAGCGACGGGCAGACGGCTCGGACCTCGGCGCCTCAGCCGAAATCTCCACTTCCGGGACCGAGGCCTCGCCCCGGAAGCGAGCGCTTAGCTTGCCGGTAAGTGTGGCTCTGGCGTGGAGCGCGCATGCGCGGAGGGCGTGGCTGGCTCCTCGGGGAGCGGCCTGAGGTCGTCCCCTTAGGCTTTTGTGAAAGGGCGGTTAGCTGCTTTGGGTTCAGAGCTGCATCTTCTAGGAAGCCTCTTTGCGGGTCGCCTCGCCCGGGCACAGTCTCATTTCTGCTCAAACCTGCCCTGGGCTCTCAGGTATTATTAAAATTACTTTTAAAATTTTTATTGTGATTTGGGTGAAAGTTAAGAGCAATTTCATTTTTTATACAGCAGTTCATACATTTTGTTTCATAACCTTCACTGCAATCCCAACAATGTAACAGTTCTCTTCTCTGTGGTCCTCATTCCTATGCATCCCAGCCCCTCAGCCATCTCTCTGTGCAAATACTGCCCTTCTGTTCTCCCACGGTTGACTGCTCTAAGGAGCCTGCCTACCTGATGTAAATGTTCATCCTATGTGCTTACTGTTTGGTTAGAAGCCACAGTACTGAGTTCAATTCCAGACCTGAAGGGTAACCAGGGGCCATGGTCTTGGAGGTCTCACAGGCTCGTATCAGCCCAATCAACCTGGTCTGTTTTATGATTTTGAGTTTTGTTCCACATTGTTCTCCAGCTCTGTGCAGGATCTCCTGCACTGATCCCTTTCCTACTGGTTTACAGTGGGAGCCGGGCACCATCTAGTTCTTCACATCTCAGGGTCATATAGGCTGAAGTTTACATGGTCTACTAGTTCCCTGGACTGTTTCCATGTACCTTTGGTTTTCTTCATTCTTCTTTGCTCTGGCTAAGGAGACATCTATCATTGCACCTAGATGGCTGTTTGCAGACCCCAGTCACTACTCATCAAAATAGGATGTAGAATGCTTTTGTGTAGTGTTATGCCAGTTGAGCTTGATGTCCCTTGCAACCATGGTCACGAGCCCACAGGTCCAACTACTCGCTCCTTCAGGATGGTTGGTTGCAGCCAATTGGTTACCGTGACTTTGCCCCTTGTCAGCTCTATCATAAATATGGGCATTCTGATACTACATACAAATACATATGTAGAAATATCATCTGCCAATCATATATGGTTATGGGTGTATTCCTTTTTACCTAGACATACCTGATCATTTAGCCTGCCTACCCGTCTATTTAACCATGGATTAAATGTTACTTATTACTGATAATGCAGTATTATATATGTAAAAGTGTTTCTTTGTTGTATCTCTTGTACACCTGTGTCTTCCTTTTCCTTATCTCAGGGATTATAAAAAAAAAGTCCATCTCAAGTCCCGACAACCTCGACAGTTCCTGTCCCCCCCAGTTGTCACCACCTCCAGGCCCCTGTGACCCAGTGGCAGGTGGTCACCAAGCCTGGAGGCTCCAAGGCCTTACTGACCCCTCCTGACTCTTCTCCTGACCCCAGATCAGAATGTTTTGTGCACAACACCCCTCCCACCTGAGTTCTGGGCTCTGGCTCCACTCAGCCCCCAGGGGGTCCTGCCCAACTTCATGTTTTACAAACCACCTGCCCCAGGACTCCCAACACTAACTAGCCTTTACTCCAAGCTCCTCACTTTCACTGGGTACTCACTGACCCCAAATTAAACATGTTTGGACTAAACGGAATCCACACTTGCCACTTGCCCTATCTTCCATCTCCTGAATGTACCACCCACCCAGTCCCGGGAAACCAGCTGTCCTTGGATTTTCTCTTATGGCCGCCTCCTCTAGGTTTCAGTTTAATGGCTCTGCTTGTAGAGAACCTGACCATCCCACATGGCCATCCCCAAGTCTCTCCTTATCAGCTCGCAGCGGGCTGTTCATCACTGTGTCATCCCGCAGTCATGTCAGCTGTGTGCTGGCATATGCCCCCCCAGACACCTCTGCTTTGTTAATTATCTCTAGTCCCAACAAAGTTTTGCAGCACAGAATCGGTTGCCTGCCATGTTGCTTGGTAATCCTGGGACTGTGCTATTGTGCTTGTCAACCCTGGGTTTGTCAGCCTCAGCAGCCAAGAGCTGCCTGAGTTAGCAGAAGCCTCCAGCTCCAGGGGGCCAGGAGCAAGAGATAGAGCTGAAGCCTGAGGTCAAGGGGTTTCCATCCAGCCCTTGGAGCTGGCACCCTGAACTCAGACTTCGAGCCTCCAAAAGTGTGAGCATAAATCCATTTGTTGAAGCCACCCATTCGCGGTATTTTCTGTTAGAGAGGCACTGAAAAACAAAAACCAAACTCGGCATCAAATCGATTCCAACTCAGTGACCTTTCCACTGGGTTTCTGAGGCGGTGGGCAAATCTTTACGGAAGCAGATTGTCCCATTTTCCTTCCGTGGAGCAGCTGGTGGGTTTGAACCATCAACCTTCTGGTTAGAGAGGTACTAGGGGACCAAAACAAGCACCAACAGCATTCAGCATCTGCTCCCATGCCTTCCTTGAAGGGCATTTAGTGAGGGTACACTCTTCACATGGATTTGGTGGTAAGGTCAGTAAGTGACAGACCTTGAAATTCCTTAGCAGGTGACAAGTCGCAAAGTGACACACCAGCTCTCATTTTTTTCCTTCCAGGAAGAAAAAAATCAATTTCTAAACCCACACACCAAATGAGGTTTGTGTGTAGGGGCCAGGTGTAGGGAAGATGGACAACCTGCAGCTCAGGTGGGTCAAGTGAGGCCCACGGGCACTGTCTGTTCCTTTTACAAAGTGCATGTGGCCGATTCCCATGTTAGAATGCGGGGAGGAGTGCTGACCAAAACACCTACTGTGTGCAGGCTTGGCCAAGGGACCCGGGGCTGGCCCTGTTACCCTGACCACCCTCTGAGTTAGTTGTTGCTGTTAGGTGCCATCAAGTTGGTTCTCACAGTGACCCCATGTACAACAGCACGAAACACAGCCCAGGCATGTGCCATCCTCACAGTCCTTGCTATGCGTGAGCCCACTGTTGTAGCCACTATGTCAATCAATCCCGTTCAGGGCCTTCCCCTTCTTCACTGACCCTCCACTTTGCTGAGCATAATGTCCCTCTCCAGGGACTGGAGCTTCTCTGGGTACAGGGAGTGCTAACCCACTTCCCAGGGGCCCAGCACCCACCCTCAGCACAAGCACGGGACCTCCACAGGCACTTTATTATGCGTCAGCCACGTCTGTAGGGAAGTAGTTACGGGCTTTTGTGGCGGGGCACCAGCTCTAAGCAGTCAGGCTCATTCTCTGAGTTATCTTTGGGTCTGGGGACAGGCTGGAACTTGAGGACGACAGGTGGGGTGAAGATGGATGCCTTCACAGGGGAAGATGGCATCTCCTCGGTGGTGGGGGAGCCACTGTGGGCTGAAGTCCTGCACAGAGACATCAAAGAGACACCCATGAGGTGGGCCACCAGCACGCAGGCTATGCACCATTGGCACCCCTGACATATTTCTGCTTCCAGAAACCCCTCCTATGAATGTGTTCAAAGCTGTTCACTGCACCATTTTTTGTGACCATAAAAGTCTAGAACTATCTACCAAAAAACCAGTTCCTATCAAGTCAGCTCTGACTAATGGTGACCCCATGTGTGTCAACAGAACAGTGCTCCATGGCGTTTTCAGTGACTGATTTTTCAGAGAGAGACCACCGGGCCTTTCTTCTGCAGTGCCTCTAGGGAGACTTAAACTGCCAGTCTTTCTGTTGGCAGCTGCACTTAACCATTTGATCCACCCAGGGCTTCTGATAAGGCTCAGTGCTCATTTAGTTTTCTAAGTTTTACTTTGTAACAGTGCAAAAATGTTCACTGTGGGCCAGCAGTCCCTTTCCACCCTCCACCCCACCCCAATCCAATTTGTTAGCCTGTGGCTCCATGATTGTGTATCATCATATTGATAATTTTCATGGCTGCCTAACATTCCATAGTTAGGTCAATGGGCTTTTGGTTTTCTCTCTTAACTGATGCTGCCCTAGAAGACACATGATTTGCAAATACTTTTCCCCCTTCTGTTGGATGTCTCTTTATTGTCTTGTGGTGTACTTGGAAGCATAAAGGCTAGGGCCTTCTGAATGGCTGTCTGTCCAAACCAATCAGGAGCCCTGGAAGTTCTCACCTTCTTTGATCTGGTATTTTCAATCCTAGGAACTGGACTCAAATGATTAAGGTAGAGAAAGCTCAGAGGGGAAAGACCAAGCCCTGCTAAGATTGCCAAGGAACACCATTAAAGCTGAGAAGAGGATTTTTGCCCAGGGCATACAGAGAGTACCCTGAATTCTGACTCCTAGTATCCTAAACTGTTAGAAAGTAAACTGTGTGTTAATGCTACTCACCTATAGTATTTCTGTTATAGTAGCACTGAGAAACTAGGACACTTTCTATCAACTGGGGATTTATAGAACTGCATGATTTTCTGGCATAAAGTCATCAACACACTGAAGCAGCTGTTTTAGATGATACTTTACAGTAACACTGTCACATGGGAAATGCTTAACAGCACAGTCAGCTAACAGAGTAGGTGAGGAAACCCCTAATTAGTAAATCCCTACTTTGCAAAAACACTGTCCCATAGCTGAGATGCTTGCTAACCAGGCTGGCAGTTCAAACCCACCAGCTGCTCCATGGGAGGAAGACAGGGCAATCTACTTCCATAAAGATTTATCATCTCAGAAACCCAATGAGGGTTGCTATGAGTTGGAATGGACTCAATGGCAGTGGGTTTGGTCTTTTAGTTTTATAGCTGAGACGAGCTGTATACACATCACAGCGCTGCTCCACAAGTGGATGGAGCTGTTCCCTTTCTGTTGAGCTGCTGGGTGGACTGCTTTCTGATTTCTCACCATTACAAACTCTAGGAAGGGTGCATGGCTTTTCCAGCACCCTCATTAGGTTCTCAGGGTCACTGCTACATGTGGAAAAGAAAATCACAATGA